TAGGTTACCGGCCTTCAGGAACTGGAATTGCTCTATAACCACCATTTGGTTTTGTATTCTTTACTCAAGTAAATTTAACTGAGTAAATATAACTAGTTATTTCCAGGGCTGACCCTCTCTAAGCGCAGATATCGTGTTGTGTCCAGGGACAAATTTTAGCGCATATGCGCTATCGGTTGAGAGAAACAAGAGACCAGCTGTAATATCACCGTGCAATAATTGTCGGTACTCGACATCTGATCAGTCAGATGGTGGGTGAGCGTGCAGGCAGACTCTCTCTTGCAAAGCTACATGAAATTTATTTTTCTTTTTTTATTAGTACTTACAAATTATTCAAAAAATCTATATCAAATTACAGATCAAGAAGTAGTAAAACATTCAGGCTTAAGACAGACAAGAACACACAAGGACAAATAGAAAGGGAAGGACATAGAACTTGGCCAGAGTGCATTATAAACTTATTACAGATAAATAAAGTCTTAAAGGCTTTTATATTGGTTCAGTAGTTCAAGCAAGACATGTAAAAATACAGGTAAAAAATACATTACCTGGGTTTAACTGTGAATATGAAATTTTGCTATGAATAAAGCTAGGTTTATGGCAAAGACTTTTAGGGGTGTTCAAACAGCAAAAGCCACATAATATGATTCTAAAGTTTTTTTTTCAAACACAAAAATGTATCTTACCAAAATATTTCAGTATATGAACACTCCCAGAAAAACATGATGGATGGTTTCCTCAGAGATGTGGCAAAACAAACCATCGAGGTATTTATCTGGATTTATCAGTTCTAAAGTTTTTAAGGCAATAACCAAACATTTTTTCCAGCAGATGTCACTATAAGTATCCCAGAAGAAAGTAGAAACTTGTTTACTTATGTGGTCTCTTATTATAATTATCCTAATAGATTTTTTTGTCAGTTTTTTAATTAAAAAAAAAATGTCCAAGTTACCAATAAATAACTGTTCTGTTAAGTGGTCAATATGTTGTTGATCAGAGGTGGACATTTACATTTTTACACCTGAAAGAATGGCATCAAACATAGGGTTAGGGTTAGATATTCTTTAGGCAATACTGGAAAGTTATACTTAGTTAAAAATATGTATTACCTTCTATGTTGAAGAGCTGATGTACTTAAATAATGCCTTTTAAGAACAATTTTTTAAGAGAGACGGATTTGTGTTTAAACCAGATATCTTTGTTATTCCTTATAAGGCGTTTATGTGTGGAGAGAAGTTATGTTTATCGGATTAATAATCACAGTCAAAATTAGAGAGCATAATTTGAATTATTTCAAAACTCTAATTAAACCTTAAAATAAAGACTAACCCGACTTATTATTCAATGACATGTTTTGAGATAAAGTTCCAAATTAATTTTAAAGGAGGGAATAATTTTTTTTTTTGATAAGATTAACTTTTTTTCTTCGATCTATAATCAAATAGTATCCTGTTTAGTTTTGTGCTGATTTCATTAGAAACAAGATATATATATATATATATATATATATATATATATATATATATATATATATATATATATATATATATATATATTTTAAACACACAAGACTGGAGACAATTTCTTTAGAAAGTAATACACATTCTGAGGTGGAACATCACCAGGGCCATCAAGCCGCATATTTACACGAACATGTGCTACTCAAAGTGAACAACCAGTCATCTACATATGGCTGTATTAATAAAGGTCTAGTTAAATAGCCTGTTGTTATATAGTCGGGACGGGTAGAGGTGTGAGGTTGTGGGGTGGGGGGAGGCAAAAATAACATTTTGCTTAGATGACCAATTTGGTTACTACCCAGCTCTGTATAAACTGTACTGAGAAGCTCTAGGTCTGGAGTTTAATCCACCGGAGAAGAAAGTTAACTGGAAAAGAACCACAGAGTTGGTGCAAATAAAACAGAAACTAAAAGCAAACTTTAGAGTTGTTTAAGGTTTCTTTTTTTTCCTGATATTCTCCACATCTTAGATAACAGGGTGAGTTATTAAGAGAAGCAGATGCATTCCTAGCATGTATATCTGCAAATTAGAGACTGTTGAGTTTTTCTTTTTGACCACCTCCGCAGTAATCACTCTAAAATTTGCTTTGGCCTCCATTTAGTTCAGAACGTTTTTGAGACTCCTGGATGTCAGGACGAGGCTGCTGTCATCCTTCCATGCATGAAACGTGGAAATTTCCCTCAAGCTGATTTGGAGTTAAAGGGACTTGACAGGTTTTGCTTCTTTCTCAAACAAAGCTTAATCTACATCTAAAAGAAGGTCACAAATTATAGAAACTAAAGGGAACTAAAATGTAATTATATGTAACTATTCCAACTCTTTTCTGTCAAGTGAGGGGTTGAGGTTTGACAGGACCCGAATGCAGACACAAAAAGCTGAGGTGGTTTTGTGAATATTTATTTAACCAAAAAAATTAAACAGAAGCAAAAATCCAAAACCATAAATCCACAAAAATCGAAAAGCTGAAAACCAGGAATACTCACAACAAGAAGGGGGCAAAGAAATGACGACAAACCAGCAAAGAGTGACTGAACAGGAGGCGGATATATGGGAGAGAGAAACAAAGGCTGCATTCACACTGCAGGCCTTGATGCTCAGTTCCGATTTTTTTGTGAGATGCGATTTTTTTGTGTTGCCTTTGAAATTTCCAAATATATGCGACATGTATGTGTCTGTATATATATGTATATTTTTCCTGTGTGAACTGTAGTCATACAACACAAGTGTCTCGCATGCACAGTAGAGGACGCGATAACGTCACAGGCCAGCATGCTCCATGTTTATGGAAGTAAACATGGATGCTAGTGCCGGAGCGCATCTAGCGGTCTTTTCCAACCATAAAAACATTCTTTTCAATAAGTTTAAACATAAATACTGCTCACCTGCCATGGTTGTTGTTTTTCTTGCCGCTTCCGCATAGCAAGACGCAGAATAGTGACCTTTGTCGGGTATTAATGACATTCAGATCGGAATCATCCAACCTGGCCGTTCACACACAGGTCGTATTTGAAAAGATTAGATTCGGATCGGATTCAGGACCACAAAGCCAAGTGGTCTGGGTCGGATTGGAAAAAATCGGATCTGTGTAGTTCAGACTGTCATGAAAAGATTAGATCCAGGTCGCATATGGGCAAAAAATCGGATTTGGGTCACTTCAGACTGCAGTGTGAATGTAGCTAAAGACTAGGCTAATTAGTAGATTGGGAGCAGGTGTGAACAGAGGAGGCAAGAAGGGAGTGAGGGAAAAGGAGACTGAAAGAATAGGCCAAACAAGTAACATCTAAGAACTAAAATTCAATCAAAAAATAACTAGAAGACACAAATAGATATAAGACCAATGAAAACTCAGAGATAAAAGATTACCAGAACCAAAACCATGACACTTTTGAGAAAACTGAATATTACTTCCCCTGCAAACAGTCATCTCAACAGAAGTGTTCAATCAGTGTTCCCTCACAGGCCCAGATAGAAATGTTGGACAGGATATGTTGCTTTCCTTTACCTTGGTTACCTTGATCATATTCCCATCCTGGTTGTGCCTTTTGTTGCTTTGTGTTTGGATTAAATACTGATGTTAGCGCTTACAATCGTTTCATTACATTTATTATTAGAGATGGATGTTTGAATGACCTTTTTTCTTAATTGATTGATTTACTTTATTGATCTCACAGTGGAGAAATTTACTTGATGTTTTCCCTCTGCTTCAGGCCAAGAGAGATTACCTGTGGTGAACTGTGAGGGCGGTCTGCTCAGTGTCACCATGGATCTACAAAAACTAAAGGTTTTCAAACCAAAAGATGTTTTGATTATTCCGAGGAATGTTAAATATTAATAACGATAGTATGTCTCTTCTTTTTAGATGTTATGACTTCATGATATGTAATATTTAATCAAATAACTTTCAGACTGTCATGTGCTGTTCTGCAAACACACACCCAACTGGCTGTGTGTCAAGACAATAGATGGAAGTTAAATCATGGTCAAACAATTCATTCTGCACACATATAGAATAAATTCACAACGACATCCAGGCAAACATATAATGATTTATGACCAAAATCATTCAACTTCAGGTCAAAAAATATTTAAGTTAAGAGTACTGACAAAACTAATAAACTAATCAGCTTCGATGTTAACAAAGACGGAGAGCCAAATAAAAATGGTTGAAAAGCATAATCAGTAAAATGATGCAATGATATTACTTTTCAGCACTGATATAATGCTGAAGAACCAAAGTTTATTTGGCATAGTGTGAAATTAGGTCAAATTTACTTACTCCATATCAACAACTTTCCTGACGGACATTAAAACTCAGCTCCATTCCACTTATCTATGTGTAAAAATACGATGGTTATAAAAATCCAGTCCGCGTTTTCAACACAGCTTTAGTGCTAACACCCGAGGACATGCCAGGTTTACATCCAGTCCATATTTTTGCACCAGCCCACCTATTCACTGTATTAGATATAAAAAAAAATACCCGTATTTCTGAGCAGTTTTTTTCTTTATTTTATCTGGACTAAGAGAATTCCCCTTGTAAATTAATTAAGATTTTAAGCAATCTAGTACTTGAGTAAATATGAAGAAAATATACAGCAGCTAGCCTAAACTATCATTTTTTTCTGCTTTTTTAGCACACTTTACTCCTTGTTTACTCTAATTTAGCCACCTGATTTAGTCCCAGTTTTCGTTTCCGTAATCCAGTAGTAACTGATTAGTTCCCCATTGGTTATTTTATTGAACTGCATATAATTCCTAGTTTATAGTATATTTAGGATTGCAGGTATTTTAGTAGGGCCCATTCTTCCTTACTTCAATTCTCTAAAAATCACCATTAATTGACTTGGCTTTATTCGGTCCATGGAGGCACCAAGTATTAGTATTTGCCATTAAATAATCACATAAACAATTGATAAATCAGAAAAATCAAAAAAAAATTAAAAGATAAAATTTATGTTCAACATGTTCATATGTATGGAAATCATCAGACAATTTTATAATGATTTGGATAAACATGGGTTCTCTTCTTCAGAGCTTGTCTTTGCCAGCTGCTGCCATGACGCTGCGGGATCAGGCATGCCAGGCTGTGTCCAACGGGAGTCATTTCCTGTTGGCACTACCCGTCATTTTCTGTGGAACCGAGGGTGAGCTGCAGGAAGAGCCCAGAGGAGTGCTGTACAAAAATATGGTGAGAATTTCTAACACAGCACTAAACATGAAGAGAAATACATTTATAGACATTTGTTATCCTAGACGCTTCTATTTGGTAAAAAAATGTAAGTCTTTTTTTTTTATATAGGCAAAGCTGGTTGAGACATAACCAGAAAGAGTACTTCACTTCTGTGATTTAAATTAGTAAAAATTATTTTAAAAGCAATTTTTTCCTCTTAATGAATAACATTAATCTGTTTTGGTTTATCACACCAAATCTGCACAAACTGCATAACATTTGTAGATATAACAGATGGTATCGGTATCAGCTAAAACTGCACAGCCAGGTATTGGTATTGGTATTGGGGCCGAAAAATGGCATCGGCTCAACACTAGTTTGAACCCTTTAAAGTGATGCTATAGATATGCATAGTATCCAAAATAGTAATTCTGAAAATAAATAGACTTAAACTTTAAATCTTTGTGTTGTGATGCTGTGTGTTCTCCTGTTTTCTGTGTGTTAGCTGTTACTGTGGAGGGACAAGCCTCAGAGCATCTCTGCACATGGAGAGAATGGGAAGCTCAGACCACCCTTCAGTTTGCATGTGAGATCTCACCCATTGTTCTGCCCTGCCAACGTTTTTACACCACTAGAGCTTTTCTGCATTTTGTGTCTTTCTTTGGTATTTTATTCATGAACAGACACAAATTCTAATGTAAACAGTTTTTTTAATGTTTTTAAAGTAAACAATTTGAAAGGTGAGCTGCTATTAGTTTAAAGGGCAGATTATACCTCTGCAAACGCACACATCTAATGTCGCTCGGGTCTGGTCGCGAACCAATTTTGCTGGTTTGCTTCTGCACCGTCTTTCTGGAATTCCTAGAGACGCACAGCAGTTTCCCGCTAAAGCGCAAGGGGGAGCCTATTCGAGAACTTCGACGCATTGTTCTTCTGAACCTCCTCGAATAACCTTTCGTCGTAGTTGTCCATTGTTGTTGTTCCTCGATTTTTAAAAATGCCGCGCCCCGGCATAGAATCGAGAAGGACGACCACACAGAGAGTCGGAAAGGCATACCAAGGACCAATCACAGCTGCTTTTTGCCTGCACTTGAGGAAGTATGCCTCAAGCGACCGTCCGACGCGTAGTCAGGATTTCTTTTAGATGCGTGACTACAGTTACAGAACCTCTGCGCGGGGGGCATGGTTGCGAAAGAGACAGATTTGACAGTTGCAGAGGCTATGCATCAGAAGCAAGACATCACGTAACTAGATTTATTGCCTAGTTTTGCTTTTAACACACCTGATGGTCTTCATTTTGAATGGTTAATGGGAAGAGAGGTGAGGAAAAAAATGTACCTGACCGTTCTGGTTCGAACCATTCATTGAGATAGTTTTGTCACAATTTCCCATAGGTGAACCCGATATTCAGCCAGACACAGAGTTACATATGAAGAATTTACTGAAGGAGTGAATAATGGCAGATGAAGCAGGCAAAACAGTTACTGACTTGGCAGAGGTTGACTGCGCTGGTTTGCAGGGGTGAGCAGGGATCCAAAAGGAGAACCACCAGACTAGACAAGTGGGCAGCTTAGATTCACCGCGGAACGGGTAGCACAGGAGCATAGAGAGAAAGGCAACCTCAGCTAGAAGAGTTCAGCTGGCAGGGCACATAGGAACCAGTAGTGACGGAAACAGGCATAAGTGCAGCATACAGACACAGGCAGCCTTAGCAGGAGAGAGTGAGACGTTCTGACGGAGATGAGTAGACAGAGGCAGGTATAAGTACGCTGGTGAACAGGTGAGCTGAGTACTAATTAGTGGGAACAGGTAATCTAGAGTGGGGTGGTGGCCTGAGGCAGAATTGGCTGTTGTGATAACTGCTGGTGGCCGAATAGTGACAGGCTGAACAGAAAAAAGTCTATAAGTCCGAAACCAAACTAAACAGAACCATAACTATGGCAAGTTTGGGTCACAGATGGCAACAGTCTCATTCAGCTCAGTTTAAGCATCAAAACACACTGACGTTAATGAAATTCAATTTGTTTTATCGTTATCTAATTTTCTCTACCCAGAATAAATTTCCAGCTGATGAACAGCTCAATCTGATGAACAGAGGGGAAAGTTTGATGGGTTACTGATTTAAATGTCTTTGGTTCCTAGCAGCTTGAATTGGACAACCCGTATGAGTAATGCTGTTGGTACATTTTTTTTTAGATTTAAACTGAATTTAGATTACCAAAAAAAAAAATTGACTTCTTTACAGATTAAACAACTTTTGAGGGAAAGTATTATGAAAACATTTTATTTGGTTGTTAAAATTTGAAAAGAAACATTTAAAAACTTTAAAGCACATCTGTATCATTCCCAGAAACTGTATCTTTACTTTTTTTTTTCTTTCTTTCTTACAGATAAGCTGCTTTGCCAAAAGCCACTCAAAATCTACTGCTGCTGCTGATAATGTGACCCTTCCTCTAATAGGACGGTTTACCCGGGGGGTACGACAGCATCTCCATTCAGTTCCACCTCCCCGCCATTTACCACCTGCCATACTCAGATCGGGGCCTGCTCTGCATTTGAGGCTTTTTGTAACTGACAGCTATGAGCAGACGTGGACTGGGCCCTGTGTTATCACCGCTGAACACCGCGTCTTTGCAGAGGTCTCTGTTCTCATTGGACATTTCAACTCTAATCATATTTCCAACATGTTGACAGTCAACAGGTCTCATCTAAAATGTATGGAAGAGTATTAGGGACACTTAAAAAAAAATTTACTGATTTTTTCATTGCTCTTTAAACCCACTGGGTCGCTGGCGAAACGTTTTAAACCTTTTACAACTAATAACTGCATGAAAATAACACCCGTAAAATGTATAACCATATAGACATGTTAGACATCATTAGAAAGCTTAGTTTTTCCATTATTCAACCACCAGGTTCATTTTATGGACAGAGCATCAAAGCACAACTAACACAGATATAGCAACATGTCACAATGTAAACATGACAAAGCAGCCACAATAACATAGCTTTGAAGGCGTCGAGAAGCCATTTTATAGATCCAACCTTCAACTGTTTATACTCCATTCATCCATAAGGGACCACAGATTAAAAGTAATCCAGGATATTACTAATAAAAATATTCTATGATGAGAAAATCGCCACATAACTCCCAGTTTTTGATATCAGAAAAGTTAGCTGGTCATAGCTAATGCTTAGCCTCTTGCTAATGTTATATTCCCTAATTCTAATTTCCTCTGTTGTTTGCTCGCAATGTTCGGTATGGTTCTTTACATCGTCTTCTTACGGATCTTTTTATAATGTGATTTAAGCCGGATACAGTCGTTAAAATCTCACTTCCGGTCATTTCCCGTCAGCCAGTGACGCATCGAGAAGCGCAATATTACGCCTCATAGAGTTCTGCTGTTATTGGTTAAGACCACATGGGCTGTTTGGCTTTTTAGCCAACGAAACAAGGTTTCAAACAAGCATACACATAACTGGCTTATATAAAGGGGGGCAGTTTTGCTGGTTTGTGTAAGAATGAAACACACAGCTGCGGCTAGATCAATGAGCGCAGCTCCAAGTTGAGTAATAACAACGGTCCTATTTTGTTTAAGTTTGGACGCTGATTTTGTTTTATTATAATACCGGCTGGGGAAAAAAACAACAAAATACAGCTCAGAAAAGGAACTGGGGCTTATTTTAGGGTTAGGGTTGAAAAGCAGCATTTCCACTATTTTGTATAGATTTTTATGTTATTGTTGTCATGTTTTGGTTGGTGTTTGTGGACCCAAATGCAGAGGCAGGGAGGCAGAGGTGAGTTCTTGTAGATTTAATTTAAAATTCAACTTAATATGTAAAACAAACCAGAACCATGAAGACATAAGGGAAAAATAATCACGAGGAGCCAGGGAGAGACGAGGTAGGAAGAAAAAAGCATTGAGAAAGCAGCAACGACAAGGAACCAACAAGGAGTGACAGCAGAGGGAGAGAATATATAGCTGACTGAGACAAAGGGAGGGCAAACGAGCTGATAAATAGCAGGTGTGAGATGAGACAACGAGGGAGCCAAGGGAAAGGAACATAGACACACAAGAGGGCAATAGACAACAGAAAAACATGAGAACTAACATAAATCTAGAAACTACAACAAAACAGGAATTAAACCAATAAAACTAGGAAACAAGGAGCAAAGTAAAGCACAACAGAACCAAAACCATGACAATTGTAGGTGTAAAAATGTTAACTTTTTTTATATACACTGATTCTGAAAAAAGATATTGGAAAATACTTGCTTGTAAATGTTTTGTGGCCATCAAAATGCTTCAGTGTTATTATATGGGTCAAATAGTAAAGCAAAGCATAGTTGTAGCATTTGGCACATTTGGAGAGATTTGGAGACGCCGGTGACACCAAAAAGTTCAAAGCCCAACAGCTCTGGAAATGTTGTAGCTAGAGGTCAGACATTTTGTCCATTTTTCATGACATGATGTAGAATAAATGTAATACAATAGGACATGCCTATTCTCAAACATGTCTTTATTACTGCTGTTCAAAAAAGACCTATTGTTTTCAAGAATTCTAAAAACAACTTTGAGTCATGTTTGAATTGATGCAGCTTGGGCTGTGTTCTACTCACCCAATTTTCATTTATATATTCAGAAACTAGAAGGTGTTAGCTTTCAAATAATGTGTTGCACATGTAATTTGGGCTTACAGTTCCTAAGTTATTTGCTTTTCCATTTGGGTATGCAAAATAGGCGAGGATTACCTAAATTGAGGTGGCTGTTAATTAACATGGGGGAAAAAAAATCAGAATTAATCTCATATTTCTGAGATTAATGTCAGAATTCTCACTTTTTTCCGATATTAAAATAAAATAGAATAAAAAATTAGGTAACATAAATTTTATAAAAATGTTTCCAGTGGCCCTAATCACCTTCCATATATATATATATATATATATATATATATATGTGCAATGAGGATTTCTGAATTTTTTATTTCTTTCTCTACAGATATCTGCCAGAGCCTCCCTCGCAGATGTGGTGCAAGTGAAGTCATGTTTTGTATCTCCTCAGTCTGACCCTAAAAAATCTCCCTTTTGGACTGTAATACAAAATGGCTGCTCGTCAGACTCCTCTTTTAACCTCAACACAAAGACAAACGGTGACAGTGAGGATGAGGAAGATCCTGGTGTAACAGATAGACATGAAGGTGGAGGATATGATCACAAGGAGAGAAGATTCCCAGAGTTGAACAGCACACTAAACATAGGAGATTTGGGCCAAATACGACGGTTGAGATTTAGTTTTATCCTGCGGCCAGTTTATAATGAGCCTATGCAGTTCGTCCACTGCAGCCTCCTTCTTTGTCTCTCTGACTCAGCAGATGGGAAACCCTGGAAGGAAGCAGCAGGCGATAGCTGCCAGAGTGGGACACAGATCCCTCCACTAGTGTCAGGGTCATCTAGACATCAGGTAAAAAAACACTTTATAAACAAATGCAGAATAAAGTTCCCCCATATAAGTGGAATATGTTAGACATATTTAAAACTGATCAGAGTTAACATGCTGTAAAAACTAATACTTTAGATCAGATTTAGCATTTAAAAACCCTAAAGAAAGACAAAGAAATAGATTTCTATCAAATCCTAACTGACGTTTTCCTTTCTTCCCGTGTCAGTGTGTTATCAGAAACCTCTCCAGACCCATGGTGGTCACCCGGCCTATTAGTTCACTGGTAACCAAAACAAAACCCTCTGCAGGTCCAAGAACAAACCGGACACAAAGCTCCGGTGAGTTTCCACTGCTAGAGGATTTTTCTCTACTGCACTTTAGCTTATGTCATCATTTGTCTGCAGGTTTCATGTTGCAGGAAGGACCGTTGATGGGAATCGTCTTTGCAGCTTTTTTGGTTGGAGTCAGTTTAATGGGGGGACTGTGGTGCATCTATACATATACAGGTACATCTATTGTTAGTCTGGTTAAGTTTTTCCCTGTAACTGATCAAAAGAATCTCCCTATTAGAAGATTTTTTTCTGTTTTGGCTTTTTGTGGCATTTAATTTCATTTCATATTTCAGATCATGAAATCACTTGACCTAAGTTAATTTAAAAAAAAAATTCTAAAGGTGATTTTATTTTTATTATTTTTATTATTTTTAAAGGTGCCCAACAGATTTTGCTTTCACAAATGGAGCAGTACGGCTATCGCTATAGAGTTCCGCTTGATTTATGCTTTTAATAGCTTTATTATAATTCATGCTGGGAGTATTACAGAATATATGGACACTGTGATGGGAAACTAGAACAGGATAAAAAAGGAAAAAGGAGAAATGAGGGAGATAAAAGGGAGATAATGATAAAACATCTTCTGTCTGCTTCATCACCTGCAAAGAAATGTAAAAATAACAGCACAAGCAATGGAAATAGTATAAGGGATACAATAAAGTAACACCTTGATTATAAGTAGTATTATTTAATCTGACATGTATACTGCGGTAGCTGAAGATAAGAATATGGGCTTTCTGTATGTAACGATGATTTTATTAAAACAAAGGTACCTTAAGTGCAACACAATGGTTGTTAGCAGTTAGGTTAGGTCTCTATGTTACAATTCCCAAGTGACATAAGTTGGATTTTCTAACTAAAGCTCTACCTGTATGGAATTAGTTTTGTATGAGGATAATTCAGCTTAATTAAAAATTAAAAAGCACTCCCGCAATGCATCTGAACACTTTGAAAAATAATATACTCAACTATATTTGCATATGCTGATATCAAATTGATTTTTAAAAACGTGGTATCGATATATTTTACTTTCAAAATCTTGTAAAATTTCATCG